GTTAAATAGATTGACCATCATGCGAATGGATGATAAATAAAATATATTTGTAAAATCTCATTCGGTTATAAAAGTGAATTTCTGACGTTGTTGCGACTTCGTAGAAACCACTGCTTCAGAGAATGAAACCTGTTCAAGTTATCAAATGTTTAAGTAGTAAATGATCTTGTACTGATACTTGTAATTTCCTGATGCTATGCAGGGCTGAATCGCTTGACAACCGTTGGCATGTGGACTCTTATGCGGATGTCTCGATACTGTCATACACACATGATGTTATACTGATCTTGGTAACTAGCAAAGGAATTCAGAACTCGCGTTCCGTCCTTTTTGGGACTCGGCAGCTGGATATACCTGGACCCAGTGAGTGATTTTGTTGCCACTAAGGCTCAAACCCAGTAGGTTTCGCTTCAAACACCAGAGCACTTACCACTTAGCCACTGGGACATGATAGCCACCTCTTGTACATCATGAATATCTGGCAGTATTCAGGCATCTGCATAGGACCCTATCTACCAACAGGGGTCAAGCGATTTGGCCCTGTATAACATCGTGAAACTACAAGTATCATCACAACAACTGACACCTGTTGCACAAGAGGTGGCTGTCGCACTTCAGTGGCTTAGTGGATAACACTCTGGTGTTTGAAGTGAAGGATACTGCTTTCGAGCCCGAGTGGCTACAAAGTCACTCACTCGGATCCAGCTGACATCCAGCTGACGAGTCCCAAACGTGCGTCTTGGATTCCTCTGCTAGCTACCAAGATCAATATAGTCTATTTAAACACCTGATAACTTGTACAGGTTTTATTCTCTGAAGAAGCAATTTCTAGAAGTCGCAAAAAATCAGAAATTTATTTTTCTATCTAACTAAAATTTTACAAATTGATTTAATCTGTGTTTTCTGAGTTGTTTACAAATTGCTGTTTATGCTTACACAGCTATTCATGTAGTTAGGATAAGGAAAACAAAAATTACAATTCTGTGCAACAGTAAATGCTTGAAAAAATAATACAAACATTGAATACTACTATACAACGTAAATATTTTGACGTACGGTTCTTTTCAAACTATGATATATAGGGAGTAATTTCAACAGCACACTCAGCAGCTAAGAAATCCTAAAAAGTTATAAAATACTTTTTTCACAGAACTTTTCATAGAACTATCATTGTACTATGGTTGAAATGTTTGCCTACAGAAAGAATTTCCCTGATATTTGGAGACCTTGAGGAAAGACATACACTAGGAACTATTCACAGAATACTTTCATGAAACCTGTTTATATTTAGTAAAATTAGCGGATACGTAGCACCTCTGTTTTATACGATATAAAAGTATCTTGTAAAAACGTTTGATAATCTTATTATTTTAGTTTCAATTGAGTCACCAAAAGTGAGGATTTTAATTAACAAATACTGTACAATCATGAAACTCCGACAGTCTTGTAATTAGATACACTTTTTTAAATGTTCAGTTATATAAAGAATATAAAAGGCCCATTTGTAGCCTCTTAGCTTGCAATAATTAGACACAATATCTACAGACCATATATTTATGTCTATGTTACATTTTAATGAATACTTAAAACCCAACAACCTAATCAACTTTTTTCGTAATGAGGTTGATCAGATGGACGTATTTATAGAGTATAGTCTGTAGAGAGAGAAAACAAAAAAATCTTGTTATATGAACTAATTAGTGCTTTATTCATGAAGCCTTAAAAAAGAATAACATTTTTGATTGATATATTTGAGTGTCTGTATACCAAGATTGCTTATCACTTATCATTCATAAAACGTTTCATACAAACCTCACAAAAACAATATCTCAGTTCGTGATGATGAAAGTTAACGTGAGAGTATCTAATGTCTGACTGACAAAATCAGCGTAGAACATTTCACACAAGTGCATTGGTTCAAGTTGTCACTTGACAGTAGTACACAAATAAGAGGTGGACAGAAAGAAAGTGATATCAAAGTAGACAAAGATGTGTGAGAGGGTAAACAAGCTGAAGATAAAATTTAATGTGTATATTCAAGCTTTAGATGTCAAGGACATCTGCACCATTGTGACAGGTTTAAAGCTATACTACCAATTCCTTTCACCTCGAGGACTCTCACGACGGAGTCTACATCTCCCCACACGATTCAGGTCAATAATAAGAGACTTCGTCGAGTGGTGCCGTGAACCTGCTTCTAATCTAATCCAACTTCCCCTAGCAAGATATCTAGTACTGCAGTTACGTTATTTACCCAAGAGGTATTTCTATGTGACCCATATTTTTAGTCCTAATGAAAGTATATGTCAGTACAAGTGTCATACTTCAAGCAAGGCAAAATTTGTCTTCTCATTGATAGAAATTTCCACTTTTTATATGCAGCATGATAACTATGTTTGAAAATAAGCACTTAGAACTGTAGGTATGGAATAATCATCCTCTGTATTGCTTACTATAGGCTTCGACACCTTAGTCAAGCATCATTGATGTTATTGAGGTTTCACTCTGGCGTCGTACCAGAATATCACACAAGCATACAGTCCTCAATAATTTTAAACAGAAGCGACTCCCTTTCACTAAGAAACTGTACATTTGGAAATAATATGATCAGCTTGTCGTTTTATCTTACCTTATTTTCCTACTGATATAAATTGAATAGTATTTCTTTTTGAGGTTCAAATGCTTATTATCATTTACATTGCTGTTTTTTATTTACTGAACAAGATATTGAATGTGTGCATAAATGACACAGTTTTTCTAAATGGATTTATTAAATAACAAAAATGCTAATTGTATAAGCCTATTGGACAAACACTTGCCTAAATTGTTAGTTTGGACAGAATAGGTGATAACAGTCTTATGTAAGCACTTTATATGGTGGTCATTGTCAAAATACATAAGCTGCTGCTCTGAATAATGCTTGTGCTGATAAAGATAACACTGTCGGACATGAACATCAGTGTAAACAAAAGAAGAGTCATAGCATTAGCAAGTGCCTGACATATATATATATATATATAGTGTGTGTGTGTGTGTGAGTGATGATTCATGATTGTTCCATAGACACAGCATTTGTGCACATGACTTCTGATGAAGTCATGAATAACGTTTACATATCTACCTGTCTTTCCAGTAGTTGCTACCGACCTATTCTAATACGATCGTAGTATAATGATGTAGGCTATTTTTGGAATGCAACTAAGACTATGCAACTGTATCTGTGTTGCTGAAAGTGCAGGTTAAGGTGAACAGTTTTCTTGAGCTTGCCTGAAATATAGGTATTACGACTGATATAAATCTTATACCTAAGGCATTTTGAAGTCTTAATTTTCGTAAATCCTAAGTTTGAGTAGTGTGAAAAAAGTATGATATATAAGTTATGGCCATCATGGACAGTGAAAAAGTACATACAAGATTCACCCAGATATTGGAAACCTCAATAGTATGGTTTTAACAATGTCCGCAAAATAAAGTAAGATGAAAATTGTAATACATTTTGCACATTCTTATGGTTAATTCACAGATGGACTTAATGAATATTAATGAGGTATTAACGGTGGATAGCGTATAGTAGTGAGATCCATGATTCGCGTTTCGTCTTATTCAAGACTCGTCAGCCAAATATATCCATCTTCCAGTCAGCCATACAGCTACTACTAACACTCAAACAAAAAACCAATCCCTTCAAATCACAGAGTGTTTTCCTATAGGTCAGTGAGTCACGACAACCACTCCTTGCGTAATGAGTACAGTATGGCTCTCCTCACGATATAGCTTGCACGTCCCTGTACTATAACCAACGAATAAACAGTGAGTATCACGACTCCACTGACTTGTGAATAACGCGATAACGTTTGATGTGATCTGTCATGAGTTCGCTCATTTAGAGATAGGTAGATTCAGCTGAGAAATCCCAGATAGGATGAAACGCCCATTCCGGATTCCACTGCTGACCACTATTCATCAATGATATCGAAACTGAGAATACTGGTAGTATGGAGGAATTCGTACACTTACTTATATGCCAATGATGGTTGATCACTTTGGTCCAATCACGGATGGAGTTTCTCAAGCTATAACATCAAGACAACTAAGACTACTTTAGATTCACTAGACTTGTCAGTGACTAACAGTTGAAGTCTTTGGTATCTTATTCTGCACTGTCACAGAAAAAAACTCAAGGATCGGTTTTTGAAGTCAAGAAAGCTGCCAAAGTAGGAAAACGAATCATGCATACAGAAATATTCTAGGAAAACGATAAATAAATATATTCTGCTTAGTTCAATGAAAGCCAAAACCAGTCTAATAGAATTATCTTTAACACACAGTAGCATAGATTTGGAAAATAACTGTGTCTATTACCATCCCCATATGCTTGAATCTCAAAGAGATGTAAGACTGAAACATCAAAAAGCACATCAACTTGATGTTAATTTAATGTATGTGATTCAAAGTCTATTCCTATCATAACGTCTGACATCGTAACTCACTGGTCTATGGAGTGGATGTGCATTTTATTATTAGATTTTGCGATTATCCTTTTCATTGTTTGTGGCCAGCAGTGGAATCCAATACATACTTTTCGTCCTGTATGAAACTCATCAGCTGGATGTGCCTGCCTTTGAATGAGTGATGTCATCCTCATTAAGCCTTGAACCTGAGACCGACAGCTTCAAACTTCAGAGCGCTACCCAAAAGGCCATGGAATCACGTTACTTACTTCTTTTGTGGTGGGTTTGTTTTTGTGTTTTTGCTCGTATTATCCTGTCGTTGAGTGAGCCAAATTGATTGAGCTGTATTGGCATATGGGCTTCTGAGCAGATGCCTCCTCACTGCCTGTCGTTTCCATTGTTATTAAGAAACTGATTCGACAGGTAATATTGAGGTCTCCACACAGGTGCCCATAAGCCAATAGAGGTGGGTTATTTTGGTTCACTGAAGGACGGGATAATCCAAATAACAACAATAAAGTAAGATAATTCCAAATTTTATTTGCTCACTTTCACATATTTGTCCAACACGTTTTTCCATTTCTTTGGTTTTTGTTTCACTTTGCAATACATCACCTTGTAATGCTATCTCGCTTGAATTATTTGAGTAGCCAAAAGATTTACTCACTGATCCCGGTTCAGTAATGCGTATATGCATAACAATACGTTTTATCATGGTTTGTAGACTTTTGTAACGTCTTAATGGATCTAATGGGCGACTTGTTTCATAGTCTGTTCGCAACTGTTCCAATATTTTGCGTATTTGTTTCCATTCACCTGTCAAGTATTCATTTTCTATCTTTAAGCGTTTAAACTCTGTCCTTGCAGGATCCTCCAAAGCAGCCATAATCGCTTCACGTGTTTTCGCACGATCTATACTGAACAACATTGACATTCTTCGCAGTTTATCTGATGGAGAAAAAATATTTGACTCATTAGAAGAATGAGCAGTGTTTGATGCATTACTACACTCCGATTTTCTACTAAGTGAAGCAGCTCTAATAGATTTTTGTGCAATAGGCGTCACAGAAGTACGCCGTGGCAATTTACGAGATATACTGTTATTCAAGTTATCAGAGGTTGAACATATACTTCCTGCACGCATGTATGCATTGTTTTCATGCATAGTGAGAGACTTGGTACTCGTAAATTATTTCATTTATTGTAAATTATGCAGTTTATTCCGCTGATTATAGATTTAATGAACATATATATATATGTTTAGCAAAGGCAAAATAATTTACAAAATTAAAGACACTATTGGTTGAAATGTAACTTCACTTTCTGACCAATCACAGACTACATCTCTCAAAGCAATTAAACCTTTCTTGATGCTATAGCTTGAGAATCTCCATCCGTGATTGGACCAAAGTGATCAACCATCATTGGCATATAAGTAAGTGTACGAATTCCTCCATACTACCAGTATTCTCAGTTTCGATATCATTGATGAATAGTGGTCAGCAGTGGAATCCGGAATGGGCGTTTCATCCTATCTGGGATTTCTCAGCTGAATCTACCTATCTCTAAATGAGCGAACTCATGACAGATCACATCAAACGTTATCGCGTTATTCACAAGTCAGTGGAGTCGTGATACTCACTGTTTATTCGTTGGTTATAGTACAGGGACGTGCAAGCTATATCGTGAGGAGAGCCATACTGTACTCATTACGCAAGGAGTGGTTGTCGTGACTCACTGACCTATAGGAAAACACTCTGTGATTTGAAGGGATTGGTTTTTTGTTTGAGTGTTAGTGGTAGCTGTATGGCTGACTGGAAGATGGATATATTTGGCTGACGAGTCTTGAATAAGACGAAATACGAATTCTGGAGTCGCAGGTAGCCAAATCCCGTACTAAGTTTCAAAAAGAATCATAATTACAAGTGATATAATTGAAATAAAATGAGTACACTTGTCTCCCAGAAGTGAACCCAACAAGTTCTGAGACAAATTTTCTGAAGGATATTTTGAACGACGAAATATCTGCGTAGATGAGAACTCATCAGTTTGGTTCGTCATACACAGAAACTGGAAGATGATCATTGTTTCTCAATCATAATTTCAGTTTTTTTTCAATAGTAATAATAATGGCTTTATTCTGAAAGCTACTTCTAGAATGCTCTGTAGAATTTTCAATATATCATATAGCATAGGTTGGACAGAAATTGTGTACATGAATACACATCAAAATGAAATAGGTATATATTGCATAAAGAAGACAATAATATTCACTCTATCTGGTACTTTCTTGATAATGTGCGGTTAATTTAAGTAGACAATCACTTTACGAATTGGATTCATAACACATAAATAGTAATATGTTCATCATAACCATCAATTAGTTTACTTTAAAAACCGAAGTTGACTAGTTAGTTCATTTCTAACACTTCCGTCGCCACACAAGAGACGGGCTAAATAAGGTATTGTGGAGTTTTATATTTTATAGTACGTGTATAAAGTCTTATGTAATTGCTCCTTGTGTTTCCAAAAGACCGACACGCAGAGAGCTTCGAGTTAAGAGTATGCTGGTCATCTGATGAAATAACTCCTTCAAGATGCTTACATGAGCTAGAATATTTGTCTAGAACAGTTTTAATTAGATGGTCAAGAGGCACACCACTAGTCCTGGTGACAACCTCTGAGTCTGAGTTATACCAGATATAGAAATTTAGGCAGAAATTTATATTGGCAATTAGTAAGATTTGGGAGGACCGGGAAAGATCAGAAGGAATACATACATCAAGATAAATCACACTTGTGACACTCTCTAATGCTCCACTATCAATAGAACAGGGATCATCAGAACTAAGCAGTTTACATAGGTTGTGTTTACATCTGAAACTGAAGTTTACAGTCTTACATTTAGAAGAATTAAGCATAAGACCATTCCCGGAGGTCTAACAATAGATGAAAACGATTCATTTGGGAACAATCTGTTGAAGAGGATGAAGATATGGAAACCATCAGGTAACCACCATATTTGATGAAATTGATACTAGATGAAGATGGTAAGTCATGCAGAAAGAAAGATAAAAGACGGGAGAAAGGGCGGCTTGTTGGGAAATACCAGTTACGGTAAGCAGTGAGGAAAAATGAACGGTATGTTATTTCCTTCCAGAGAGATAGGATTATCCAGAACCCATGATAAGAAGCGCTTTGGGTTCATTACTCAAAAGGATTTTTTGGTAGCTAGTATACATATGTGAAGTAAATAGAAATCTCACTGAGTATTTCTGTTATCACTCAAAATGAGAGTTTTAGACGAAATGATTTGTCACCATGTTCTGAAAATTACTTCACGTTGTTTGTCAACGAACAACTTGAGATTTATATAATCTAGAAGTAACATTTCCCAATGGGACGCTTATATTTCATGAAGAATTCACATTTTTACATCTAGTAATTGGTAATCCACTGCCTATTAAAGTGATCATTTATTCTGTTTAGGTATCTTGAACTTCATAAAGTTGCATAAATTCCTGACTTTTGAAATTTCTTCATGCTTTGATAAAATGATATCAAAGTATTTCATTTAGATGCCTCAAGAGGGGATCATTTTGTCAGAAACAAAGATACCCAATAGTATTATTTGAATTGAAATAGTAGTCATTCAATCAAGTTGAAATTTTAGTAAAAAGGTGGAAAGTCGGAATCGAACTACTAGTTGACTTTGCTATCGATCGAATATTTCCATCGATAAATTCCTTTCTCGTATCTTTAGCTGGCGACTACCTAATCAAGTTAATAACTTCTTCTAACGATAACTTTACTCCTGAATGACCATCTTAACGTGTTACATAGGTTGATATCATGAAGGAAAAAGGAACTAACAGTTTACTACTTTTTCAGAATCTCCACTATGAGTTCGATGCTGTTGCCTTTTTTTAGAAAACTAAGTCATGGGATAGATTCTTACTTACTAGTCAAAACTATATCTTTGACAACATTCATCCTAACACACATTCTAGTTCTGTTTTGGGAAACTTTAAGTCTGATTGACTTAAATTTACCACTTGATGCAGCCTTTTTTTCAGTTTAGATTAAAATAGATTCAACTTTAAATGAAAAAGATTAGCAAACAACTAAAAGGAATCTTCAAATTGCCTTGTGTTTGTTTATCGCATCAAGAACAAACTTAAGCATGCACACATATTCATATACACGGATATATAAACATACTCAGAGTTAACTGTTTTCATGGAACAAACAAAGGATTATGAGTTTGTTGACAACTTTTTAAATTACTGTAGATAATTGAATCGCTTATCTGATTATTATTATTATTGCCATCATTCAAGGATAATTCACTGTAATAGCAAGAAAAATAACCGAAGACAAGAAAGCTTCTTTGCTCAATAATTTTGCCTCTAAATGCATCAAGACGAATATCAATACATTAAATTCATCGAAATAATGACGAAATTATTTTCACCAAAAAAAAATACAGAGAAAAAACAAAACAAACAAACTTTCAATATTCTATATGATAAAATATTTTTACAAGAAATAATTGACTTCGATCAAAACAGCTACAAGGGATGGATTAAACTTATTATTCCCAGAAATTTTTTGAGGATTTTTATTCCATCGTGTAAAACAACATGAATCTAAACCTCCAAGTCTGTTTTCTACTTTTCATTTGATGCCGGTGAGTAAGGACAGCTTTGTTTTATGTGATACAAGCCGACAAAATTTCACTTCTTCGGCTCTTCAGCTAACTACCTGAAAATAAGGACATAAAAACAGTTCTGTGTTTTACTATCTGATAATCCCAATGTGACCAGTAGGCGAAGTGATTTGGCACAACACAGTAGTGTCTTTTATTATAAGATAGTAGATTTTCACCGTTAGGAAGCCTTAGACTTAGGTTGAATGCTTTTTTGGCACTCATCAGCAAAGTATAATTGAGACCATGACAAGCGCATTGTTCTCTTACTGACTCGAATCTGAATTCAGAGAATTAACTGCTAAGTTAATAAGACCATGGCTGATTGGCTGTCGGACTGGACTTTCTACAGAATTTGGACAGTTTTTTGTGCTATCTGAGTAAATCTCCACTTCTAAACTAACGCATGCCTTTCTATTTCTATCATGCAACAACATACCGACAGAATGAAAAATAAAAGTCGAACAGGAACTGAGGGTTAGATACATTCGCTTATATTATCGTTAATATTAACATTATCTAGGTACCGTGATTATTTTTTTGAAAATGTCGTACAAGACAAAAAATTGTCGTACTACTACGCGGTGATAATTTCATTTTGTTTAGTAAATGCTATTTTGATATTAGAAAGGTTAGTGTTGAATAATTAAGGATGCTAATCATTGAAAAAATTGACAGGGCAGCAAGCAGAGTTACACATTTTCTGTCATCAAATCTAAAATGTCCAGGCAAGCAATCGAATGGAGTAAAGTAACCTCATAGAGAGATAAATAACAACTTAAAGTTTAACTACGGAGTCAAAATCTAATAGGTAAAACAGGAATTATCCAGCAAATGTACGAAATATGTAGAATGCTTTACTACTTATACAGTCATAGATTGAAGAAGACTAACGAGCCATAGTAACAATAGCTGAAAGTTGAGTAATTTGCTTGATTTTTGAAGATAGAAAATAAATTATGCTCAGACCACTATAATGGGATAAAAATGATTTACTGTATGATCCATCTCATAGACAAGCTAAAATGAAGCGATTTGGTGGAATCAAAATGCTATTTGGATCTGATTAAATGTCTCCTACAAATCAATTTCACCACAATTGATTTATATTAACAATATTAAAGCTGTTTACTGACATACTTGTTACTCTCCGTTGTTTTTGTTGGATTGAGTCCCAAAAAGGACGAAACGCGCATCCTAGATTCCTCTGCTAGCCACAACCAACCAAATTACAATATTAAAACAGGTCGATATTTCCCATTATAACACATCCAAGGAATTGTGCCTAAGAGTGGGGAGTACTGAACGCCCGGGATTTAGTCCGTTGATTAGGTGGATTCAGGCAAATACTAACCAGTGCTGATTTCCCCAAAAATTAATCAGTTTCACTGTTCTCGTTGTTATGATAGTTTTAATTTCCTATTGCTACATAGGGCTGGACTGCCCGACCTCTGTTGGGTGATAGGCTTGTATGCGGATGGCTGGATAATACCGGATATTCATGATGTTATATTG